GACCGGGGTCATCTTATTTAACCATGGCCAAGGCCATCTTATTTAACCAGTGACTGAGGTCATCTTATTTAACCATGGCCGAGGCCATCTTATTTAGCTGGAGCCACTTCTTAGGGAAGACAAGCATCGGGCCATCAATCTGATGGCTGGCAGCCGTTTGCCTTCAGCACAGCATCCTCAAGATGAGGAATTATCACCACCGCACCCAGACACTTTGGATGCTGCTTCAAATCACAGCACCAGTAAAAATTCATGAGAATATGAAGGGTTTAGAATCTAGAGGGGAGGGTTGGATACGATCTGTTGTGAAGATGCCTGTGCAATTTAATTGCATCTGTAAGATGGAAATGGGGTGGGGAAGTACAGGAGACGGTAATGTGCTTTCGAGCCACCAGTGAGGGGCCGAGCCAGGATCAAACCCGGGCGCGCTCTGACCCCCCACGCCGCCCTCCCGCAGGGACAGGCCCTAAGGGGGCCCCTTTCCCAGAGGTTTCTCGGGTGCATTCCTGCTTCGGAGCCTCTCAGGCCGGCCACGTGGGGGGACAGAGGCTGCTGTCATCTTCCAGTGTCCCTTCTCCCCCTTTCCTTAGCGAGGGAACGCTTTGCGCTAGAACTTTCCAGAAGGCAAAGCAGGAGTTGGGAGCCGTCCTCCTCAGGGCTAGCTGGAGGAAGGAGTGATGGCTGAAGACCCGATGGGGACCTGGACTAGGAGGAGTAGAGTCATTGGCAAAGCAGAAACCAAACAGGGGCCCGTGTCCCGCGGCTGCCATCCCTGTGCTGGGCTTTTCTTTCCTCACCCGAGGCCATGTTTTTACTGATTTTAGAGAGAGAAGAAGGGAGAGGGCGAGAGGGGAGAGAGGAAGGACAGAGTTCTGTGGCCAACAGAAGAGCTGACTTCCAGTCAACTGATAAGGAATCAGTTCCCTCCCGAGGCGGCACGGGCTGGGTTATGGGCTTTTCTGACTCCCGGGGTCTCGGGAGCCGGATGGTCTCTCCAGGGTAGGTCCGGACGGGTGACGCCACGCAGCCTGGGGTCTGCTTCCCAGGAGAGTGTTAGGGCGGGTTGGCACACACGTGCACGCTCCACAGACTGGAGTAGAAACCGGCCAGGTCAAGGGTGGGCCTGAAACTGGAAGGCAGGGGGAAGGGAGGGAGGGAGTGAGGGTGTGGGAGTCTCTGGGGGAAGGGGGTCCCCTGAGCATCCGTTGTTGGGGCCAGAGTGTAAGAATGACAGAGCAGGTGTCAGACGGGAAGAGGGGCCATGGGGAAAGCGTGAAGAGACACAGCCCGGCACCACGCTGGAGCTCAAAACAAAACAGTGCTCCCCACACGAGGGAGAACTTAGCCAAGAACAACTCAGGTGATGGGCTCCGGAAAGACCCGGGTCCCTCCCCTCTCCCCTTTTCCCTTCATCAAAACCCTAGGCAGCCCGTACGGTGCAGCCAGGCCGCTTCCTGCCCAGCTCCCCCGCCCCTAAAAGAGATTGGGGCAGCACATGGAAACTTGGAATTCATAAAGCTAAGTCACACACTGGGGAGGGGCTGCATCCTAGGGCCTCACCTCTGAAAATAAATCAAGATTAAAAAGCTGCTTGCTTCTGTCTGCATCAGAAGGTGCTCCCTGATATTAAAACAACAACAACAAGAACAACACACACACAAAATGCAAAACTCAACTCCCTGCTTTTGTCAACTCGGGAACTGGCTCGGCTGTGTCTTGGACGACGCGTCAGTTTGTTTAAAGCACACACAGGGAGATGTTCCTTCCAGCTGTCAGAAAACTTCTTTGCTCTTCCGTCCGTCCAGTATCCCCAAGAAAAACAAGGGAATTTGTGGCTTGGTTTCCCTGGCAACCTTATCTTCACTCCAGGCCCATCTCCTGTCTCTAAGCAACAGGGCGCTCTTCAGAATTACCCCGAGGTGAAGCCCGGGCTTCTGGGAGTCCTCGCGGACCACACGGGTCAGGGGAGAGCATCTGGCCCCCCGCAGGACAGGGCCCCAGGCCCAGGCAATCTCACGGCCCCTCTGTCCTCCCCAAACCCACACGCACCCCGTCTTCCTTGTGCCTGGACTCCCGCCTGCCCACTCTCCGCCCCGGGCTGATGTCTCTGCTGCAGAGGGGCCAGTGACTCAGTTTATCAGCCAATGCCTCCCATAAGGCCCCACAGCTCCAGCATGAGAGGGAAGCTGACTCGGAGATCGGGACCCACAGGGAGCACTGAGATGCCACCGGGACACACAGGGAGCACTGAGATGCCACCAGGACACACAGGGAGCACTGAGATGCCACGGGGACACGGATTGCATAAGTGGCTCTGCTGGGGAAAGCGCATGGTTACGAGAGCGTGAGACGAGCTGCCCTGTCGCTGCACTGACACGGAGGAGGAGTTTGCTCAGCAAAGGGGACTCGGGGATAAGTTTCCCCGTCAGCGTGACCCCGCCTCTCCCCTGACATCTCCGAGCCAGGAAGGGTTTCTGAGGACATACAGAAGGGGAACATACGGAAGGGGACAAACATGCAAGGTATCTGGACTTCAATCAGAGTGAACGAGGGCTGAGGAGTGTTTGGGGGGGGGGGGCACTGTCTCTCAGGAATAGAGGGGGCAGGGTGGTGAACTGGGCAGCGTCCCTGGGGCACAGACTTCACAGTGAGGTCCCCAGGACAGCAGATGTCCTATCTGCAAAGCCCAGGCTGAGTGGGGAGAAGCTGTTCTGAGGGGCTGTGTGGACACTGACCAGCTACATGGCCTGGCACGTGTGTGGGGGGCATGTCCTGCAGATGACACAGCACTCAGAGGAGTGGACGAGGAGCTGTCCTCGGAGCAGCTTCCCCCAACCTGCCCTGCACCCCAACATCAGACATGACGACGGGCCTGCTGAGCCATCCCCAATATCTGCCTCCCCGTTGCTAGGAAGACATCTGTAAGTTACTGGAAACGTTGAATCCTAAGACAGAAGTGTGTTCAAACCCCCGGCTTTCATTTCTTCCTGGATTTACGGAACAGGTAGAGGATGGCAGACTGGCAGACGTGGGCTGAGTCTGGATGGGAGCCCAATCCCGGGGCAGACACAGAACGTGGCTTCCTGGATCGGAAGGCCCGCAGGGCACGGCGTCCGTCCATCCGTGTGTCCGGCCTGTGGCAGGAGGTGACACCATCCCCAAGTAATTTTTCTGTCACTTTTCCTGTGTCTCCACCCTCGAGGCGCCAGGGCGATTCTCACGCTCCCACCCACCAGCCTGTGCCTCGGTGCACGCCCGGGGACACGCCAGGCCGAGCGAAGCATCACCCAGACGGGAGCCCGCGCTAATGACAGTGTCAGGCTTCCCACCGAGACGGAGACGCAGCTGATTAGAGGAGCGTGTGGCAGTGTTTCCAAACCCTGGAGGAGGTGGAAGCGCCTTCCACAGGAACCACCTGCCGGGGTGGAAACTCAGGTCATGGGGGTCGTGCCCACCTGGGATGGCCGAGACCAGGGTCGGGCGGTCTGGGAGGGTCCAGACGCTGCCCCCGCTGTCCTGCTGGGGAAACCGAGGCTTCCCCAGGTGCAATAAGGCTACCCTGCCAGCCGAGCATTGCGTGGCTCCTTAGAGAATGTGGGGGAGGGCGTGTTAGTGGTCCCCGTGGCCCCTTCAGCCTGGCATTCGGTGATGTCATGAGCAGTCCCGCAGACAGTACATTATTCATCTCATCTATTTAACGACGTTAATCACCTCGGCAGGGTCCGCACCCCACCCCGGCGGGCCAGGGCAGTCCCATCTGCAGTCCCCTTGACATGGGCTGCAGCTCACGGGCTCTGGGCTGGTGGTGGCGTGAGCCTGAGCGTCCTCTTTCCCCGCCCGGTCCCCGTGTGCCGCCGGCAGCTCAGACCGCGCAGGGAGGAGCCCGTGGCCAGAGAGGGCTGATGGACCGGATAGGACGCGTTTGGATGAGATTCCTTCGCATCCCTTTGAGCTCTCCGTGTACCTTCCTCGAGTACAAAGCAACGGCGGCGCCCTGTGGGGACCATAAGCTCCTCGAGAAAAGGGATTAGAAGGAGCTCCATTGCTACCTGATGCTCACTTCCCCTCGGGTACAGAAAAGGGAGCCGCGGTCGTGGGCGGGTGGTTCTGGGTGTTCACAGACCCCTGGGGGCTATCTGTCCACAGCTCCAGAGCAGGAGAGAACCCCCTTTAGAGAAACAGGTGTGCGGGGTGCAGCGGTTTACCTGCTTCGGGAAGAAATGGTCGTGACTGATGGAGGCCGCGGCTGCCAGCCCCCCGGCACACAGAAGGCTGCCCATGCTCCATGCGTGGCAGTGCCCCTCTCGGCTGGCCGCTCTCGTCCTTTGGAAAGCGATGCCCCGGGGAAAGGACGTGCCTCGGTGACAGCGACCCCAGGCTGAACACCTGCCTCGTCAAGTGCTTTTCAGGCGGCAGATGGCACTGGAGCTCTGAGCCTCCGGGATTCCCGGCCCGAGGGGAACAGGCCGCCTTTCGGTGTCCGTGTCCAGTGCCGCTAAATCACGCGAGTGTCGTTTTTGGAGACAGAACGCCAGCACCTTATTTCTCTCAATTAAGATAAATCCAAAGACACAAAACCAATTCCTCCAAAATGCTAACAAGGGAAGGACTGGACAAGGCCATTTCAGGAAGCTGCTACAGGCAGGACCAACGGCAAGGCTGATCACTGAACTCAGCACTTTCAGACCAGGAAGAGGAACGATACGTCGTGTTTTTATAGGAATCAGGTGACAGTTGGGAATGGGGCTCCAAAGGACTCGGAGCAGATACACCAAGAGAGGAGCTGACCGAGGGAAAAGGGGGTGACGCTGTTCGAAGTGACAGGGACGGGAAGCTTCATCACAAAAAGGGACCCATCGAGAAGAAGTGACCCCAGCAATATAGACAAGAAACATCTGCGCATCCCTCTAAAGAGGACCCGCACCCCGACTGCCCGGCCCCTTCCCAGCCAGGCAGCTGGGCCGGCGGCAGTGCCTGCCCCGTGGCGGGCAGGGCCTCACCTGGGATGTTGTGGATGGTGATGGCCAGGATGAGCAGCATGATCCTCCTCCAGCTGCTGCCGCCGGGCGGGGCCGCGGGCCCTGGAGCCGACGCGGGGACGGCGGGGCCCTCGGGGTGGTGGGGGGCCGCCACCCTCTTCCTCTGGTACGCCTCGCCATTCTCGCTCTTGTCTGAACAGAAAGAGGGACGGGAAGAGACGACTGTGAACAGGAGGAAGTGCTTTGGACGTGGGCAAGCGGCGCCGGAGGGGGCTTTCAGATGGGGACAGGAGACTCTTCCTAACTTGCAGATGAACCAACCGTGCGTTCTCCCCGTGTTCCTTCACTTCCTCATCCCTCCGCTTCTTCACTTCCTCATCCCTCCGCTTCTTCACGCACTCACGCATCCACTCACTCACTCTGCAAGCACTCGCTGAGCGGACGCTCGGCGCCCAATGGGAAGGCACTAAGAGGGGGAAGGAAGGTGAAAACAGGATGCACTGGCCATGCCCCCTTAAGAGAGGTGAAGCGGAGCAGGGGCGAGAAGTGCAGATTCTAGAACCAGACTGCGGCCTGCAAGCTGCTAAGCCTCTTTGTGCCTCAGTTTCCTGATTCTCGAGGCGGGATAACAGTGCCTGCTGTGTCGGGCTTTTGCGAGGATGAAAGGAGAGGCTGCAAGGAAATCCCGAGACTGTCCTAAGTGCTGTGTGTGGGGAAGTGGTGCTGTCACACGCCCTGCTCGTCCACAGCCCCCAGAGCCATACCCCGTGACTCTCCTGGTCACACCGACTCCTGGGGACCCATTCAAGTGTGTGTGTGTGTGTGTGTGTGTGTGTGTGTGTCAGCGCATCCGAGTGCCACCCGGTCCCAGCTTTTCCTGTCAGGCAGCCCCAGTGCACGTTTGCACGTGGGTGGGTGTCTGTGCACACCTGGGGGAAGGCTGTTGTACATTCTGACAACATCTAAGGACTCAGGCTGTTGAGGCTGGATTGGAAACTGAACTACATATCTGGGATTTTTAAATATATATACATACATATATATATATATATATATATATACAAATATATATATATATTGACTACTGAGAGGGAGCAGGAATAAGAGAGAGAGAGAGAGAGGAAAGAGAAACATCAATGATGAGAGAGAATCATTGACTGGCTGCCTCCTGCTCGCCCCCTACTGAGGACTGAGCGTGCAACCCGGGCCTGTGCCCTGATGGGAAATGGAACCATGACCTCCTGGTTCATAGGTCAACGCTCAACCCCTGAGCCACCCCAGCTGGGCTAAGTATCTGGGATGCTAAGCCCAGGAACACTGACACGAGCAAGCAGACCGGAGTGCAGGCAGGAAGAGGAAGCAGGAAGCAGGAAGCAGGAAGCAGGCCGCACGCTGGCAGAGGTGGCCCAATGCCCGTGGGACTAGCCAGCGGACACCATTCACTCCCTGGGCCTCCTCAGAGCGTGGGAGGCGATAAGGGGGAAAAACAACCCCAGACCCAAACTCTTCCCTTTAGAATTTTATAACTTCAGGGTGTGAGGCAGGGAGACGTGAGTTTAAATCCAAGGGGCAGGCCTGCGTCTCTGCCCAGCACTGAAGACGGTGCTCGCTGCTGTGAGCGACACGGAGGAGCAGGCCCTGCGTCTCCTGCAATGACACTCCAGGGCCAGAGTCGTGACGGCGCCAGCAAACTGCAGCCCGGAGCGTGGCTCTCCTGGGAAGGTCGTGAGGCAGAGTCGTGAGCCTGGGAAAGAAGCCAGGCCCTGTGGTCCCAGGTGGGGGGCACAGAGCCTGGGAACGCCCAGCGGACGCAGGAACCTTAAATAAGCCGCCACTAATGAGCCCTCATCAATCAGGGGCGCGGAGGACCCTGAGCAATGCATCTTCCTGCCTCTCCCGCTTCAGGCTCGTTAAACCGTCACGCGCCACCGAGTAAGACAAATGCCAAGCGCCGCGCCTGCGCCGTGGGCAGAGGGACCGCCCTGGGGGCTGCCGCCACGCCTGGGGGCAGCGGACGCAGAGCGGGACCCAGGAGACTTCTTGAAAGAGGAGAGGTTCTGACTGACACCTCTGAAGCAGGCCTGGGCCAAGAGGAAGCGCACTCAGGCATGGAACAGCTGAGGCCAAGTTCAAAGACGGGAAAACATCAATGGCCCTGGCTGGCAGGCGATGCTGAGGAGTTATTTTAACAACCCGAGTCCTTACAAAAGCCCTGTGAAGGGGTCACTCCCTCTCACAAATGAGCAGAGAGGGGGAGTGACTGTCCCGGGTCACACGCCCTCCTCCACCTCCTCACCCCCATTGGGCTGTGGGGGGGTAAGGGGTGGGGTCACGCCAAGTCCTCTGCCTCCTGGGGCCTCCTCCTGCCCAGGCCCCTTGGTTGACTGTGGGGAGGGGAATAACGAGGAGCCGGGCCCACAGGTCTTCCCGGAGGGAGGAAAGGAACCACGTCAGGGCGGGTCATCATCAAGAGCCTCTCTTAGACTCTGAAGGCAAGCACCGCAGAACCCACACAGAGAGGGGACCCCTGGCGGGGCTCACTGCGCCCTCCCAAGTCACCTTTGCAGGAGGGGCCCGCGCTGCTGCATGGGAGAACGAGCACCGCAGCAGGACGGGCGGACGGACGGACGGACGGACCAGTCCAAGGCCCACTCTTCCACGGGACCTGATGGGACACAGGACTCCCCGGGTTCCCCTCCCCCAAACCAGGGGCACGATCCTTGTCCCAACACACTGTATCACAGGGCAAAGCAGATCGGGGTCCGCGGGGAGCACCGGGCAGGCGTCCGGCTGCCCGGGGAGCCCCTCCCCTCAGTGCGCAACTGCCTCCCTCCCTCCCCAGGAGGGAAGAGTCCCGCCTCCTCCAGATCAGGGGCCCACACCTGGATCAGCCACTGCTTCTGGAAGCTGCCATCTTCTCTCCGGCAAATAACAAAAACAAAAACATCGACATGATTTTAAAATGACTTTTTTGGAACCCTCACGGATTCAAGGCCCTCGGATGAGAACATCTGGGTAAATGCCAGATTAGCCTTTGTTTCCAGCGCCCCGGGCCCAGTGCCACCAGGAACACAGGAAGCTTGCTGTCCGTGTGGCGGGGACCCCATCTCCCGGGCCGAGGCTGGGCGCTCAGGCCCTGGTGAATATGGCAGCGCTAATGACCAGATTGCCAGTCACGAGGGCCTGAAACACGTCCCCAGACGCCACTGGGCGCGATCTGGTTGAATTAGTACAAACGGGCAAATCCTTGGCTGCTTCGGGCAGAAATTTTCAAATCCCCGGAGAAACACCTTCTCTGAAAGCTAAACCCGTTAGGAAACATAAATGGAGGGTGTCTCTATTCCCGGTGGGTGAACCCCGAAGCGCGAACAAAATGGAAAGGCCGCCCTAAAGCAGGGAGCCGGAGGGGCCGCTGACTAATGTTTTCCCTCTTTTCTGGTTTCCCAGGGCATCACGATAATTGGGGGAAGAAAGCCAATTAGCCAGGAGTGTGGCAAGGCTTGCTAAGGAATTGGGTTCTGTTTCCCTAATCATTCATGGGATTAGCATGACTTCCTTTATGTAATTTACACTGAACTTGAACATGAAATAATTACTCAACATTGGCATCAACACTGACAGACAGAGGTCCAAGGGAGCCCTTCTGACAGTCACGTGGGGATTTCAGGAAGCCTTGGCAGAGGGCCCCTTGGCCCCGAGACATCAAAACCAAAGCCCCTGACCGTCTCCAAACCTATCGGCAGCTCTCCCGGTGTCTCCTTTCTGTAAAACTACAAGCACAACCACATTAGAGAGCACTGCCCCAAAAAAGACCGCTGCCCAAGGACAGGTGTCCGGCATCCCTGACATGACAGCTGTCATCTGTCCCTCATCTGTGCCTAGTTTTTGTACGCTGATGCTTTGTATGTTGGCAGGGAGTATGGTGACGGAACAGATGCTGGATCACACTGGCTGTGGTGGGATCACGGCTCTGCCAACCACGGGATCATGGCTCTGCCAACCACGGGATCACGGCTCTGCCAAACACGGGATCACGGCTCTGCCAACCACGGGATCACGGCTCTGCGAACCACGGGATCATGGCTCTGTCAACCACGGGATCATGGCTCTGTCACTCATTACTCTGTGCCTCAGTGCCACTGTGGTAAAGTGGGTTGTTTAATAATCATATCTCCTTATAAGATTGCTATGAGCACTAAAGTCTACGCAGAGCTCTCAGCACAGTGCCTGGCACGAGACATCCACAGCCAATGCTAGCTATTCTATTACTGTTGATTCTATGCTTTAGCGTACAGTTTCACATCCCACTTGTTTCACTTGAAATTTCAGAAATAGTTTCTAGATTTCTGAGTCTCGCTGCCTCTCATTTTTAATGGCTGGAGGGCATTCTGCTTATTTCTAAGCCTGTCCTTTGCGGAACCATTTCCTCTTTATCAGCGTTTGAACGGTCACACTTGTCCAGAGGCTAAAAGGTGCAGTGCCTGGATCTTACCACACGGGGGCAAACTCCTCCTGCTCCCTCCCACCCAGAATGGGCACCTCCCCTCCCCCCAAAGGCTCCTGCCTTGACTCCACGCAGGAGATCTTTGTTGTATGGCGTCATGGCTCATGTGCCACTGAAGGTGTGCAAAGGGGATGAGCTGCCCCGGGAAACAGCTGAGCATGTGAGGGGACGCTTCTGTTGCAAGCCGGGGGGTCTGCACAACATCCTAACCTTCCAGGTGCTTGCCTGTGACTAATGGTTGCCCCACAACCGTTTCCCTACAACTGGACACAGTGGAGCTGCGTCACATGTGCATTTTACAAACGCAAATGCAGGCATAGGCGCCCGAAAATAAAAGAGAGAAAATTCCCTTCGTCTACCCAACACTCCCTCCCACTTTCCACTACTACATCTTCAAAGTAATTTTGGCTTCAATGTCCCCAAAGAGGGGAGGCATCTGTTGAAATCTGGGGTTTGGGGGCAGAGGGGGAGAAGCTAATTCTTGGCTTTTGATTTTTGGGGATGGGAGGGCACAGCCTGGTGGTTTGGGGGGGGGAGGCAGGGGAGTCTGATTCTCGACATTTCTGTACTAAATGCTGTCTTTAGAAGCCACTGAGCATGGAGACATGGCTCAGTGTCAGGAACTGGTGAGGGGTGCTGAGACAGGCTCTATGTGACCTAACAAGAGTTGAAGGAAAAAGAAAAAAAA